TTAGCCGGGCAAGATGGCACATGCCTGTGGTTCCAGGTACTTGGAAGGCTGAGGCAGAAGGATCACCTGAGCCTAGTAGGTTGAGGCTGTGGTGGCCGTGGGCATGCCACTGCACTCCATCCTGGGTGACAGAGTGAGACTCTGACTCAAAAAAAAAACCAAACACACAGATGAAGTGGGAAGTGCACAGTAATTTTCCACACGGTGAGGTAAACACAGATGGAGGCAGATAGCATGTGCTATGGGAATGATGAGATGCAGCAGCTCATGGGGCTGGATTGTAGGGCAGGTACTCCCCAGCCTTCGCAACATTGTCTCTCCCTCCTTAGCTCAACAAGACTTTGAGGTCCAGCTCCATGCTGACCTTTGACTCATCACGGTCCCAGGCCTAGCCACCCTTTCAGGTCTGTCAGCTCCAAGCTGCTTTCACCGTTAATACGGTATTTGCTACTTGCCCTATATTACTGGTGCCCTGGAGATGCAGAAGCAGCAGAGCAAAGTGGTGGTACCTCAGCGTCACCCAAGGCCTAGCACCAAGTTATAGGAGTGGTCACCGCCTTCCTCAGCATCACTCACTCAGGAGATGGGAAAGAAAAGGCCAGTTCCATTTGAGAATGTCACAGCCAAAATAATAAAAACCTTATTAGCTCTTAGCGTGTGTTTTTAGTATTCCGTGTGAGTATGCACAGTGACTGTTTCAAGGACCAGGCACGTGTATAGTTGTTGAGTTGGGAGTTGAGAGAGCTACTGTTCCAGAAACACTTCTTATGGGAAAGAAGGACTGCCTCCCAAACCATAATTATTCATATCTGGGTATTTGGCAGAAACTTCCTTAAAAACAAACCAAGTAACTGAAAATGAAAACAACTGACAGTAATGGTTGCAAATGATCAAACTGAAGCTATCAAGTGAAAATTAGAAGTTTGGAAAACTTCCATTTACCACCATAAGTTTGACAGCTTCCTAGGACTTACAAACTGAACTGATGAGATCAGTGGTGATAGATGTATGAATGTAATTTTTTTTTGGAGGTGTCACCCAGGCTGGAGGGCAGTGGCATGCTCACAGCCACTGCAGCCTCAACCTGCTGGGCCCAGGCAATCCTTCCGTCTCAGTCTTCCAAGTAGCTGAAACCACAAGCATGCACCATCATGCCGAACTAATTTTTCTTGATTTATTGTAGAGATGAGGTCTCACCAAATTGCCCAGGATGGTGTCGAATCCGTGGGCTCAGGCAATCCTCTCACCTTGGCCTCCCAAAGTGCTGGGATTATAGGCATGAACCACCACACCCAACCATGAATGTAATTTTTTAATATTGTATTGTGAAATTTTCAGTATTTGGTAGAACTGCATAATCCAGTGGTCAGAATTTTTCAAATGATTTATGCATGTTGTTACAAAAAATCTTGCATGATTTTATGTTCCATGTTGTAATTAAACTTTTAAAGTTACTAAATTTTGGCATAGTATGAAGAAACCATAATTGTCTGTAACAGCTATTAAAATATTCTTTCCGTTTTCAACTATAAATTCTCATGAAGTTATATTTTTAAAAATGAATATATTCAACCAAAACAACACATAGCAACAGGCTAAATGCATATTTGAAAATTTGACTGATTTCTTTTATGCCATAAAGCAAAGATTTGCAAAAATATAAAGCAGTGCTGTTGTTCATGTTGTTTTGTTTTTGAAAATGTTTTTTATTATTTTAAGGAATTAAGAAAGTATCTAAAAATTTCTGTTTTAATTTCTAATATGGTTACTGTGAATAGATACAAACCATATAAACAGAATCTCCTTGAAGTTGTCAGTAATTTTTAAGACTACAGAATACTGAGACCAAAAGGTGTGAGAACCACTGATCTCATGTGTAGATGACTGTTTTATTGTCAGATACAGGTTTACACATTTTGCCATTTCTGAAACTGGAATTTTTTTACAATTTTTGAGGTATGTCTTTGTCATTATCGTGATAGACTTAATTGTATAAAAAATTTCTATTGACATTTTCTGGCACTGGCATGAAAAACACTTTCATCATAATCCATTGTTTTCAGTTGTTCTTTAAATGTCAAATATATTTGCATAATTTTTTTAAACAAAAAAATTGTTTGTTTTTTAAATTCAGGAGCAGTATTTTTCCTTAAGACCTGATCTGAAGACCAAAAGCTATGGAAATATCAGTGAGCGTGTTGAATTGAGGAAGAAGTTGGGTTGTAAATCCTTTAAATGGTACTTGGATAATATTTACCCAGAGATGCAGATATCTGGGCCCCATGCCAAACCCCAGCAACCCATTTTTATCAATAGAGGGCTAAAACGCCCCAAAGTCCTTCAACGTGGACGGGTAAGAAAGCAATCTTATCAAAGTGTTTCATGCAAAGTTGTGTGATATGAAAAGTTTTTAGATGCCCATAAACTATAACAAGTGACATTCTAGTCTTAACAGAGTCAAGATTTAAAGATAGACTTGAGGTTGGGCTCGGTGACTTAGCCTGTAATCCTAGCACTTTGGGAGGCTGAGGTGAGTGGATTGCCTGAGCCTGCGGGTTCGAGACCCGTCTGGACAACTTGGCGAGACCTCATCTCTACAATAAATCAAAAATTAGCCGGGCATGGTAGCACACGCCTGTAGTTCCAGCTACTTGGCAGCCAGAGCCCAGCAGGTTGAGGCTGCGGTGGCCGGGAGCGGCCACTGCACTCCAGTCTGGGCGACAGAGTGAGACTTCAACTCAAAAAGAAAAAAATAAAGATAGACTTGAGCTTGCCTTCCATTATATTCTCTTGTACCTTAGAAATCTTAACATCTTTGCTGTTAAATGGCATTAAAGGGAGCATGAGTTCTGTAAGGAAGAGTTACGTGCCGCCTTCCAAAAGCATAGATGCACGTGGGAATATACACACGGGTAGAGGCAGTACAAGTAAGTATGAAACATATTTGGCAGAGACCAGTCCAAAAAGGAAAACACATGGAGAAAGGGGGCAACTGTCTCGGTGTGGTCACAGTGCTGGGAAGCTGCTTACAGATAGGAAGTGAAGGTGCAGCCAAGATCCGAGTGAGGGCATGGAGGGGGATTTCACATGATAGCCCCAAAGTTATCAACCACATTTCTTTTGCTGTCTCTTTGTTTCTTAAACAATTTCTTTACAGTTGCATAATCACACATCTTAGGGTCTAGCTGTAAAATAATTCCCTTTTCCTGAGTCATTTCTTAGACCTGGCTTTCTGAAAGTTAGGGCTGGTCAGGTTGCCATGTTTCTCTCTTCTGTGATGGAGGAGGTGCTTCTCCCACACCCCCTTATGGTGCCAGCTGACCTTGGGTGAGCGAGAGCTTCCCCCTTCTTGTTCTACATTGTAAGGTGAGAAAACGCCTACTGAGAGGTGTATTATTAGGTTTTTTTCCTCTTTAAGTAAAAAAGGATACTAATGTGTGTCTGTGTAGTTGGAATCCCTTGCCACTATTATGTCGTGTAATTTTTTTTTTTTTTTTTGAGTTGGAGTGCATGACCACCGCAGCCTCCACCTGCTGGGCTCAGGTGATTCTTCTGCCTCAGCCTTCCAAACAGCTGGAATTACAGGCATGCACCACCACACCTGGCTAATTTTTTGATTTATTGTATAGATGAGGTCTCGCCAAGTTGCCCAGCCTGGTCTCGAACCAGTGGGCTCAGGCAATTCTCTCGCCTCGGCCTCCCAAAGTGCTGAGATTATAAATGTGAGCCACCATGCCCCTTCATCCCCTAGAGTAAACTTGTTTATTTGGCTAGAATTTCTACCTGACACTGCCTGCATATGTTGTTAAAATCACTAATAACTTTATCGTATCTTTCCTGACATTCCTGCGTATTGCGACTAGAATTTAGGAATAACATCTTCTTATCTTTTCATGACCCTTGTAATTCATACCTCTGAAATATGTTCCTGTTTTACCCAAAACCTCCTTCCCAAGCATACCAAGGCAGCCTGTGTGTGCTGAGTTGTCAAGAACTCTCTCTTTTACAGCTTTATCACCTCCAGACCAACAAATGTCTGGTGGCCCAGGGCCGCCCAAGTCAGAAAGGAGGCCTGGTTGTGCTTAAGGCCTGCAACTACGGTGACCCAAGTCAGGTGAGTGGTGCCTTGGGGCTCACAGCCAGTCCTCCTAAGGTGGGCTCCAGGGCAGGGAAGCTGCTAGCATCACTCCTAGAACATCAAAATGTTTCCTGCTCTGACTGTTCTAAATCAGAAGCTTTAAGTTAGGGATGGCTTTGGAAATTATCTTAGGTAACTACTTTTGTCTGTTTTGTTTATTGTTCCTACCCCTGTTCATTGTTTGTCATATTAGAAGCAATTGCAGCATTTCAACTGTTTAGACCATTATTTGTATTTTCCAATATGACGGTGGGGGGGAACCCTTGAATTTATTTATTAAAAATTGTGTATTTATTCCTTCATGTTTAAACTTTAGTCACCTTCAGAGTACTCTCCGTTTGATGCAGTATACCTATTGAGACACTTTTTTCTTCTGCTCAAAACAGTTTTGAACTGGTCGATTGTGATGCCTTTTTGTGCTTCTGCCGTTTTTTGTTCTACCTCTTCCACATTGGCAGAATGTTTCCCTTTGAGGACTTTTTTCGTCCAGGGAAACAAAAAGTCAGTTGGGGTGAGATAGGGTGAATAGGGAAAGTAGGACACAGGAGTCATGCCATTTTTTGGTCAAAAACCGCTGAATATTCAACATGGTATGGGCAGGTGTGCTCTTAAATCACCCATCATGAAATGAGCAAATGCATTTGAATCTCCAACAAAAATTCACTGAGGCCTAATGCAGCCTCTCACAACCCTGTTAACTGGTAGACTGATGCTGATAGGTTTCCAGAACACTTACCTAGTGGGGAAAGCCTGTAATACCAGAAGCCTGCATTGCAAAAAATTAATTCTGAGTTTTTTTGGGTCCTCCCTTCATGTATGGAATGAACTGTGACTTACAAGCCATATGAAACTGTTAAAAATGGCAAAGAATCACTATAGAATCACTATAGAAATTCAGTTCATTTTATTCACAGATTTTAATTTCAGTTTATGTATGTCTCTTCAGTGATATTCAAATAGCCCTGAAAATAAGCAGATAACTTATTTCAATTTTGAACTATAATTTCAAACCTTGTATCTGTATTTGATAAAATAGAATAACATAACAGCAGTCTAATATGAGTTATAGTATCTCAAGGATATAATGCTTACGATGCCCTAATTTTCGTATCTGTTTTAGTACTGTGTTGGTGTCACTCAAGAATGAGAAAAGCACTTGGGTTTTTTGGCAAATAGTGTTTACTGTGAAATTTCTTTCTTTCTTTGAGTTGGAGTCTCACTCTGTCACCCCGACTGGAGTGCAATGGCATATTCACGGCCAGTGAACCTCCACCTGCTGGGCTCAGGCGATCCTTCCGCCTTCCAAGTAGCTGGAACTATGGGCATGCGCTGTCACACCTGGCTTATTTTTGATTTATTGTAGAGACAGGGTCTCACCAAATTGTTCAGGCTGGTCTCAAACCCCTGTGCTCAAGCAGTCCTCTCACCTTGGCCTCCTAAAGTGCTGGGATTACAGGCTTGAGCCACCATGCTGGATTGTGAAATTTCATAAAACATGTTTTATTTCTAGGAGAGTGTGTACACATTGTATAAGGTGATATACATATTGGAAAACATGGTTTATAAAGGATTTCTGTGCCTTTTCTGGGTAAAAGAGGTAGCAGTGTGGGGTACACTAAAGTGTTAGAATAGTAGTGGCATTTCAGTAGGGCACAGTGGGATGAGTGTGGAAATTTCCAGTGATGGTGTGATAGTATCCTAAACCTGCTACCTTGTGACTGCACAGAGTTGTGCTAGTACCAGAGCCACATGTGGCTGTCTACATCAACTGCAGTGAAATGAATGTGACTAGTGTGATTGAGGAACTGAACTGTTACTCTTAAGTGTGCAGTAGCTACGTGTGTCCGAGAGCTTCTTTCCTGAACACACAGGTTATATAGAACAGTAGCAGCATTGCAAAAAATGTGTTACAGATGTCCATGACTCTGATCAAGGGACTTCTCTTCATATTAATGGAGACTGCAAACATCTCTTGTGGATCTATAAGTTGAAGAAACAACAAGTAAATAGGAGGATGGAAGAAAGCATACTCCTTTTGAATTGAGTGATGGTGAATGTTGAATAAGTTCTTGTGGCACGTTTGCCATTTGAGTCAATTAAACAGCCTCCGAGAGACGATAGCACATCAGAGGGAACTCTTGATTTGGGGTGGTCAAAATGAAATCCTCCATCTTATTCCAGATGTTCTGATGACTTGGAGCTTGAGCGTCCTATTCTGCAGGAGGCTGTGGCATAACAGCTTTGCACATCAGCACTGCCCCACAGATGAGGATGCTGTGAAAATGGCACCCCCATGGGCTTCTGTCTCAGACGGCAGGCAAGCCAGCAGCTGGCTGGACTCCTCCAGTGCTAACACGGTCTAGAAATTAAGAGAACTATGTAGTTGTTAAACCCTAAAACTGGAAAATATTTACAGTATGTGAACAATTGAATTCAGTCAGTGAGGTTAAAATCAATTAAGAAAATTCAAGCCTGCTTAGGCTTCTTTCCAGGATAGTCCCTCACTCCCTGTGTTTGTTCATCCCAGTTAGATAGCTGTGTTGAAATTGGCTTCTACATGAGTCTGATACCTTGGTCTGTGTCTGCTTTGAGACCACACAGACATCCACTCATCTTCCACATACCTATGTGGAAGAATGTGTTATTGAGTCCTGAATTTCAGTATCTAAAGCAAAACTTGGGTTATCTTTTTTTTCTCTCTTCTAGATCTGGATTTATAATGAAGAGAATGAATTAGTTTTAAATAATCTCCTCTGTCTGGATATGTCAGAAACTCGCTCATCAGACCCCCCCCGACTCATGAAGTGCCATGGCTCAGGAGGATCCCAGCAGTGGACGTTTGGGGTGAGAGAGCACTCAGTGATGTTGAGTGTCCCCCTATCCTCAGGGAATGTGGTCTAAGACCCCCAGTTAGTTCCCACAGATCGTACCAAGCCTCATGTAGGCTATCGTTTTTCCTGTTACTGTACATACCTGTGGTAAGATTTAATTTATGAGTTAAGCCAAGTAAGAGATGAACAACAGTAAAATAGAACAATTATGTGAATGTGCCATTTCAGAATGTCTTCTTGAACTGTAGGTAAATGAACTGCAGAAAGTTCATCGTTGGATAAGGAGGGACCACTGTATCCCATAATTAATCTTATTTATTAAATGTTCCACATGTCTTCTGGACTTCTGTATCTTCTTTACCATGTTTGGCCAGTATGTTTTTTAAATAAAAGCAAAAAACTGGTGGTAATTTTTTTCTTTTTTTTTTTTTCCAGAAAAATAATCGGCTCTATCAGGTGTCTGTTGGACAGTGTCTGAGAGCAGTGGACCCACTGGATCAGAGAGGCTCTGTTGCCATGGCAATCTGTGATGGTTCTTCTTCACAGCAGTGGCATCTGGAAGGTTAAGGTGGGTGCCATGACAGGAGTGGTGATTCACCAGGCTTTGGCTCCTCTGTGAAGTATGTGCTTGAGAAGGAATGTTGTCAGCGCCAGAAATGCTGTGTCAGGAGAGCCATCTTGGAGATGATGACCATTTCCCTGTCCTTCTGGAGAAGCCTGGACATGTTGGCAGAGGTGACAAAGCAGATCTGAGCAACATGGGAGCACAGTGTGACAGTGGTGAAGAAGTATGCTTCACCAAGATGTTAAATTCACTTCTGAGCTGCTATTAGAATTTCTTGCTTATAGAGGGAAACCAGAATATAATTGTAAGTCTAGAGTTGGGTCATACAGGACAAAACCCAGGAAATGGACGTTTTTATTCAATTTTATTTATATCTCTTTTTAATTCCTTTAATGATGGAATAGTTGTTATCTAATCAGGAGCTTGTCATGATTTCCTTTCTTAGAAGACTTCACAGGAGACAGTGAAATTTTTTTTACTGCTCTTATCATTTGTCTACTGTGTTCTAAAGAGGTAATTTTAAAAACCTGAATCCACATTACCTTTAACTTCAGGAGGCATCATTTATAAGACTATTTAAGAGGCAGTTACCTATTATAAATTATTTTGATGAATGATGATACTATCAACATTTAAAATAAAGGATCCTTTTGATTATTCAGCTAGGATCTTTTGTCTTGTATTGGAGCCTCTGGTCTGAAATAACCCTGTGTTTGTGATACATGTGATGAAAAATACTCTTGGGCATGATATAGTGGCTCATACCTGTAATACGAGCACTTTGAGAGGCTGAGGCAGGAGGATCCCTTGAGGCCAGAAGTTTGAGACCAGCCAGGGTGACATAGGGAGACCTTGTTGCTACAAAATTTAAAAAAAAAAATTAGCTGGGCATGGTGGTACATGTCCATAATCCCAGCTACTTGGGAGGCTGAGGCAGTAGGATCTTGTCATTGCACTTTAACCTGGGCAACAGAGTGAAACACTATCTCCAAAAAAAAAGAGGCCGGGCTTGGTGGCTCATGCCTGTAATCCCAATACTTTGTGAGGCAGAGACAAGAGGTGAGAGGATTGCCTGAGCCCAGGGGTTTGAGACCAGCCTGGGCAACTTGGCAATACATCATCTCTAAATGGCACGTACTGTAGTTCCAGCTACTTAGAAGGCTGAGGTAGAAGGATCACCTGAGCCCAGCAGGTTGAGGTTACGGTGGCCATGAGCAGTGTGCTACTGCACTCCAGCCTGGGTGACAGAGTGACTCTGACTCAAAAAAAAAAAAAAAAGATTCTGCATTCAGCTGATGTGTCCAGGTAGTAGCCTTACCTTTTGAGAAGATCACAGTTTCTTAGCTTGAGCTATGTGAACTTAGATTCTTTACATCAGTGTTGCTTGTGAAACACCTGGGTAGAGCTGTTAAATAGACAGTTGGATACAGAGGTCAGAATCTTGGAAGAGTTATCTTAAGTAGAGGTGATATGTTTTGGGAGTTATTTGCATATACTGTAAATTCCAAAATGGAAGGTGAACTTTTTCCCTCCTAATTACACCTTCAGAGGAGAGGCAGTCTAATGCTGCGTGGTACTCAGATATTTTATTTTGGACTTCAAACAATGTAAGCACCATACATGACCTATATTCCAAGTATTTTTAAGTTATTTGACTTCAAAGGCCAGGAGGTACATATAGAAAACATAAAGCAGCAAGATGGTAGATTCAAACCCAACAATACCAATAATTACACTGCATGTAACATAATTGATCATAAGTAGATATAATTGTCCCAGTTAGATTAGATAAAAATGCAAGACCCACCTATATGCTACCTACAAGAAATTCACTTTAGCTGGGCGTGATGGCTCAAGCCTTTCATCCCAGCACTTTGGGAGGCAGAGGGGTGAGGATTGCCTGAGCCCAGGTGTTCAAGACCAGCCTAGGCAATCTGGCAAGACCTCATCTCTGTAACAAAATAAAAAAATTAGCCAGGCGTGGTCATATGTAACAAACCCAGACATCAAGACATTAATAGAATTAAAAAAAATTGAGGAGAGACAAGAGCAAAATAGGAAGGAGCTGATGACAGAAATAACAGCAGTAAAGAATACTGTGATGGAAATAAATAACAAACTAATAAGCATGGAAAGCAGAA